CAAAACATCTGCAAGATTCAGTACTGTCCATCTGCACGATTGTTGAGCCCCTCAATATCTTTGCAATCTGATCAATTGAGATAGTTAAGACCAGTCCCAGCTGTGTCTGAGACCAGTCCCAGCTGTGTCTGAGACCAGTCCCAGCTGTGTCTGAGACCAGTCCCAGCTGTGTCTGAGACCAGTCCCAGCTGTGTCTGAGACCAGTCCCAGCTGTGTCTGAGACCAGTCCCAGCTGTGTCTGAGACTAACAAGTGACAGGATGGACAACCCAGCGGGTTTTCTTCCGTCCGGTTGAGTGACTTCCTTTAAACAAATGAGTGTCGCTGCGCAGTAAACTCCGACAAATGAGTGACGCTGCGCAGTAAACTCCGACAAATGAGTGTCGCTGCGCAGTAAACTCCGACAAATGAGTGTCGCTGCGCAGTAAACTCCGACAAATGAGTGTCGCTGCGCAGTAAACTCCGACAAATGAGTGTCGCTGCGCAGTGAACTCCGACAAATGAGTGTCGCTGCGCAGCTGGGATACGAGGACAAGGAGCTGGGATATGAGGACAAGGAGCTGGGATATGAGGACAAGGAGCTGGGATATGAGAACAAGGAGCTGGGATACGAAGACAAGGAGCTGGGATACGAGGACAAAGAGCTGGGATACGAGAACAAGGAGCTGGAATATGAGGACAAGGAGCTGGGATATGAGGACAAGGAGCTGGAATATGAGGACAAGGAGCTGGGATATGAGGACAAGGAGCTGGGGTATGAGGACAAGGAGCTGGGATATGAGGACAAGGAGCTGGGGTATGAGGACAAGGAGCTGGGATATGAGGACAAGGAGCTGGGATATGAGGACAAGGAGCTGGGGTATGAGGACAAGGAGCTGGGATATGAGGACAAGGAGCTGGGATATGAGGACAAGGAGTTGGGATATGAGGACAAGGAGCTGGGATATGTGGGCAAGGAGCTGGGATATGAGGACAAGGAGCTGGGATATGAGAACAAGGAGCTGGGATACGAAGACAAGGAGCTGGGATACGAGGACAGAGCTGGGATACGAGGACAAGGAGCTGGAATATGAGGACAAGGAGCTGGGATATGAGGACAAGGAGCTGGGATATGAGGACAAGGAGCTGGGATATGTGGACAAGGAGCTGGGATACGAGAACAAGGAGCTGGGATATGATGACAAGGAGCTGGAATATGAGGACAAGGAGCTGGGGTACGAGGACAAAGAGCTGGGATACGAGGACAAGGAGCTGGAATATGAGGATAAGGAGCTGGGATATGAGGACAAGGGGCTGGAATATGAGGACAAGGAGCTGGGATATGAGGACAAGGAGCTGGGATATGAGGACAGGGAGCTGGGATATGAGGACAAGGAGCTGGGATATGAGGACAAGGAGCTGGGATATGAGGACAGGGAGCTGGGATATGAGGACAAGGAGCTGGGATACGAGAACAAGGAGCTGGGATATGATGACAAGGAGCTGAGATACGAAGACAAGGAGCTGGGATACGAGGACAAAGAGCTGGGATACGAGGACAAGGAGCTGGGACACGAGAACAAGGAGCTGGGATACGAGACCAAGGAGCTGGGACTGAATGAAGGAACAGCACCCAACCACTTAAGACCACTAGGGATCGAACACCGACCTTAGTGACACTAATCCTGATACTAAACCACCTGGAGGTGGTTCCGAGGATCAGTGCCCCCCCTGCGGCCCGGTCTCTGACCAAGTCAACCAGGCTATTGAGACGCCCTTGCTCGCGGTCCTGACGTCACCATAATTCTCATTTCATCCCAAGAAAGTAAGTTTTGTATACCATTATTAAAACAACACTTCGTAGAAACTAACACGAAAGACCATATTATAAACAAAGGAAATCCTGCCTTTTAATCCCCCCCCCATAGTGTACAAGGTCACATGAGAGCTTTACACACACACACACACACACACACACACACACACACACACACACACACACACACACACACACACACACACACACACACACACACATACACACACACACACAACTTAGTACCCAGATGAGCCACAGAGACGTTAGAAAGAATTTTTTCAGTGTCAGAGTAGTTAATAAATGGAATGCACTAGGAAGTGATGTGGTGGAGGCTGACTCCATACACAGTTTCAAATGTAGATATGATAGAGCCCAGTAGGCTCAGGAACCTGTACACCTGTTGATTGACAGTTGAGAGGCGGGACCAAAGAGCCAAAACTTAAACCCCGCAAGCACAATTAGGTGAGTACAATTAGGTGAGTACACACACACACACACACACACACACACACACACACACACACACACACACACACACACACACACACACACACACACACACACACACACACAGGCACCCACCTGTTTAACGCTGCCACCCACCACCTGTTTAACGCTGCCACCCACCACCTGTTTAACGCTGCCACCCACCACCTGTTTAACGCTGCCACCCACCATCTGTTTAACGCTGCCACCCACCACCTGTTTAACGCTGCCACCCACCATCTGTTTAACGCTGCCACCCACCACCTTTTTAACGCTGCCACCCACCATCTGTTTAACGCTGCCACCCACCATCTGTTTAACGCTGCCACCCACCATCTGTTTAACGCTGCCACCCACCACCTGTTTAACGCTGCCACCCACCACCTGTTTAACGCTGCCACCCACCACCTGTTTAACGCTGCCACCCACCATCTGTTTAACGCTGCCACCCACCACCTGTTTAACGCTGCCACCCACCACCTGTTTAACGCTGCCACCCACCATCTGTTTAACGCTGCCACCCACCATCTGTTTAACGCTGCCACCCACCATCTGTTTAACGCTGCCACCCACCACCTGTTTAACGCTACCACCCACCACCTGTTTAACGCTGCCACCCACCACCTGTTTAACGCTGCCACCCACCATCTGTTTAACGCTGCCACCTGTTTAACGCTGCCACCCACCACCTGTTTAACGCTGCCACCCACCACCTGTTTAACGCTGCCACCCACCACCTGTTTAACGCTGCCACCCACCACCTGTTTAACGCTGCCACCCACCACCTGTTTAACGCTGCCACCCACCACCTGTTTAACGCTGCCACCCACCACCTGTTTAACGCTGCCACCCACCACCTGTTTAACGCTGCCACCCACCACCTGTTTAACGCTGCCACCCACCATCTGTTTAACGCTGCCACCTGTTTAACGCTGCCACCCACCACCTGTTTAACGCTGCCACCCACCACCTGTTTAACGCTGCCACCCACCACCTGTTTAACGCTGCCACCCACCACCTGTTTAACGCTGCCACCCACCACCTGTTTAACGCTGCCACCCACCACCTGTTTAACGCTGCCATCCACCACCTGTTTAACGCTGCCACCCACCACCTGTTTAACGCAGCCATCCACCACCTGTTTAACGCTACCACCCACCACCTATTCGCGCGTTTTCTTTCGTTATCAAATAAGTTGATATCCGAGAATAAAATGTTTCGTTATCGTTCTAACGGGATATATTCAGCGCCAATATTATAGTTAACGAATATTATATTGTTTCTTGGCTTATGTAAGCATGCAATTACTGAAAGAAAACGCCAAGCCGTTAAGATTTGGGGGGTAGGGGGGGGGTGGCTTGGTCAGAGACTGGGCCGCGGGGTCATTGATCCTCGGGACCATGGCCAGGTAGGTTTTGCTGACTTTGTGTAGCTTTAGGTGACTTTGGGTGGCTTTAAGTAGTTTTAGGTGACTTTGGGTAACTTTGGACAATCTTGAGGTTATCTTGAGATGATTTCGGGGCTTAGCGTCCCCGCGGCCCGGTCCTCGACCTGGCCTCCTATTTTGTTACACCCCCCCCCCCCAGGAAGCAGCCCGTAGCAGCTGTCTAACTCCCAGGTAACTATTTACTGCTAGGTGAACAGGGGCATCAGGGGTGAAAGAAACATTTTGCCCATTTGTCTCCGCCTCCACCGGGGATCGAACCCGGAACCTCAGGACTACGAATCCGAAGCGCTGTCCACTCAGCTATCATAAGCAAGTTGTTTTAAAAAAAATTCCAGAGGCTCGTCTCAAGCAAGTTTATCACCAGCCAATCTAGTTTATATTAATTTGTATAAAATTGTTGTTGTTGTTGTTAAAGATTCGCTACCTGGAACAAAAAAGTTCCAAGTAGCACGGGCTATGGTGATCCCGTAGTATAGAATTATTTTTTTATAAATAATGGTATTGATCGTGGCACTAGAAGCTGCGTTGATTGATCAGATTGTTGGTGGGTTAATGTTACTTATTTCTTCAAATGTAAGTTCTAACGAGCTACTTTCAAGTGACTTTTAATTAAAGTTTAATTAAAGTGTAACCTTCCATTTGTTATTATAATTATCTATGTATTTTCAATGTTTTTGGGGATATGGTGTTTATTTCATATATTTTCAGTATATATTTATCATAATATTAAATGATTTACATTATAGAAATGTCTTCATCTCGTATATACAGTTTTGAGAGAGAGAGAGAGAGAGAGAGAGAGAGAGAGAGAGAGAGAGAGAGAGAGAGAGAGAGAGAGAGAGAGAGAGAGAGAGAGAGAGAGAGAGAGAGAGAGAGAGACAGAGAGAGACAGAGAGAGACAGAGAGAGAGAGAGAGAGAGAGAGAGAGAGAGAGAGAGAGAGAGAGAGAGAGAGAGAGAGAGAGAGAGAGAGAGAGAGAGAGAGAGACAGAGACAGAGACAGAGACAGAGACAGAGACAGAGAGAGAGAGAGAGAGAGAGAGAGAGAGAGAGAGAGAGAGAGAGAGAGAGAGAGAGAGAGAGAGAGAGAGAGAGAGAGAGAGAGAGAGAGAGAGAGAGAGAGAGACAGAGAGAGAGACAGAGAGAGAGAGAGTGAGAGAGAGAGAGTGAGAGAGAGAGAGTGAGAGAGAGAGAGTGAGAGAGAGAGTGTGTGTGAGAGTGATCAACACTCAGGCAAGCATCACATAATAAGGGTTTAACAAACAATCACATACAAAAAGTCTTTTTATTTCCATCACAGAAATGAATATCACAATTTATACATAGTGGAGCCCCGAGGTCCACCTGGCGGCCAGACCTGGCAACATATAACAAACCTCTCTTAATTAAGTAGTGTTTGCAGGTCAAATATAACTTAAAACTTAACCTTTGTGACCAAAAATGGGCATCCGATGGCTTTGCAACAACAAAGTCAATCATATATAGTTTTAAAAAAATATGTAACTTATCATTCGGCCTCTGAAGGTCGAATGGGGATAGGGCAATGCCCTCAAAAATCTTTCTATAATACTATTTTTTTGTACACTTTTTGAAAGACTGTTGGCGCGGTGTCTTCCTTATGCAAGGATTAATGCATTTTTCTTATATATATACAGAGTCCAAAAAGCAATATTTGCTAAGAATCATTTATCACAGTGGAAAAGATGTACAAGTCAAATTATGTACAAACGATCACAAACTCTTTTTTTTATATCACAATATACAGAGGAGAGGTGAGTGTGTGGGGGCTGCCTCCACCGTCGCTTCTCTCACGTCTTGTACTTAAAGCTCTACAAGGCACTCCGTACACATGGCTGTCTCCACTTTGGCACGTCGAATCCACACGCATGGCGCTGCTCCGCTCCGGGGGCGTGGCGATGTGCGCACTCCCGCCCACAGCGCCCGCGAGGGGGGCGCAGTGAGGGCGCACTCACTCCTGCTGCCTCAATTGAGATTTGAAGACTCAAAACTCCAGTCAAAATGCCACTGGATTGGAGGAGAATTCCTCCTGCTGTAGTGATCACCAGGGTCTCCAGGACGACTTGCCGTCGTATGGATGGTCCGGCTGGTCGCGGGGCGCCGGCCGACGCATGGAGAGGTCCTGCGGCATGTTCATATCGCGGATGGGCGTGGGCGCCACTAGCTTGGGTTTCATGCTTAGATCCATCAGCGGGGGCGGCGACATGGGCGGCGAGGCGGAAGGAATCATCACCGGGCGGACGGGTGTAGGGCGGGGCGCGGTCACCACCCCAGGAGGCGCTGAAGGTGATCCCGTGGGCGGCGCGGGCGTGGTGTTAGGGGTGGAGGAGGGCACTCCGGACATGGCTGAAGCACAGGATGTTAGATGCGTGATGAGGCGGGAGGACACTGAAGGCTCCAGCGACGGGGAGGCGATAAGGAAGGACTGCACCTGCTGGGCGGCGGCCACGAAGCCCTGCTGGAACTTGAGGGCGTCGTGACGCGGGTCGTGGCCGCCGGGGGGCAGCGTCAAGCAGCGCCTCTGGTTAAGGCGTCGAACGTGACGGACCGTCAGCTCCAAAATATCGGCCTTCTCCAGCCGCGTGACGGTCTCGCCCTCCGCCTGCAGCGCCGCCACCAGGAGGTCTCGTAGCTCGTCCAAGCAGCGATTTATGCGGGCTCGTCTCTTCCTCTCCAACATGGGCTTCATGACCCGTTTGTACTGGTCAGTCCGAGACACCGGCTCAACATGCACCGAAGAAACCATTTTGCTCGTCACTTATGTCCACAGGAATATTGTTTCACAGGCAGACCGAGGTACTGAGAGAGAGGCTGGCCACGAAGGTCCTCCACCGGCCAAGGCAGCGTAAGTTCTGATGTTGACACAGGATCGGGTCCTATATATAGCGTGTCAAGATGTTTCCTCAGATGCCAAGTCTCATTTAAAACTTACTACCTCCGCTCCAAATCACAACAAACACAAAAACTTCATATAACCACATAATCTTACCTTGATAATAAGACAATCTGTATTAATTGTAGCTTAAAACACCTGACTTGTGATAGGTTAAACGTATAATATATGAAGTTTGGCGCGTGGCAGCGGCGCGTCCGGGCCGCCTCGTGGGAACCTTGCGCTGTGCGCCGTCCCAGCCGGTAGCGGGTGCCCAACTTCCACGCCTTCATCTTCTCACGCCCATAACCACCCCGCCCGCTACACCATTGACAACACCCACCTTACATTAACAAATATCAACCTCACTAGCAACATATCTGTAGAAATCTCCGCCTGGCGAAGCATTAAAACCAGAATATATGGGGTTGATATCGGGGTAGTGGGTCTCCCGCCCCGCACCGCCCCGGGGCCATGGCCGCGGGCGCTGCTGCATCACCTCAAGTCATTCATTAATGCTTTATTTATCCTCCTACTTCCTTTATATGGATAACCTGTATTGCCACCATCCATCCAATATAGTGAAAAACCTTCCAGTACCCACACACACATCCACCATCTCCATTTTTGGCGACAAAATGCGTAAATAAAACGAACGCGAAAAAGTGGTAATTTTAGCCATGAGGTGCATCTGAACGCGGCCACACCTGTTGCCTTAGCGGACTGTGGGAGATGAAAGATGGCCGCCCTTAGACGCCCCGAGTCATGTGGTAATATTACTACTACTACTACTACTAGTAGTAGTAGCATGCAGTGGTAATAACCATCATGAATGACGAAGGTGCTTGAATGAATAGTTTACTATTCAAGTGGAATAGTATTCGGTATCAACCAGGTATCAACCAGTATTGATGCTATTTTGTGGCATTTGCGTATCGTATTGTTTCGCAATTACGGGCTACGCATTGAAACATGACCCCCCCCCTCCCACCCCCTCCCCCCCATACAAGATATCTTCTCATATATGTTTTACTTTCGTAATACAAATATAATCATTATAATATCTATGATTACTCTTTAGATAACTATAGTTATACTCTATAGATAACTATACATTACTGTAGATTACTCTTTAGATTACTATAGATAATATCTATATCCTATCTACTATAATATCTATATCTATATCTACTATAATAATATCTATGATTACAACAATAATATTTCACTTTCTATATAAACATATACACACATATTAATATTCACTTTATTCATTCAAGAAGTTCAGACCAAACTCAAAGCGGAAAGTCTGTAGCCTAAAAACATCTGAAATTAATCTTTGCCATAGAACTTAATTAAGGCTTTTAGCTCCGGACAAGATTACTGACCAACCGGGAGCGGGTAGGCCTACACGCCACCTGATATTTGAAGTCATTAGTGCTGAAAATTGGCGCCGTTTGGGGATCTTGTGAGGTGGAGTGAGACCAACTTGTGAGATAACAAGAGTCTTCATCTCATACCTGACTGGTTCGGTGAGGTTTACCACCTCCACAATCACCACAATCTCTGCCTACCGGTCACACAGGTACCGGGGGAGGTGTGTGTCCCACCACAGGTACCAACGAGGTACCGGTGTGCCGTGTACACCTGCCGGGAGGCCACACATGCTAATGAGTAGCCCACACCTGTAGATGAAAGGCCAGCTCCCAGGTGAAACTTGCGCATTCGGAACCTTACCTTGAGGTTACCTTGAGGTGCTTCCGGGGCTTAGCGTCCCCGCGGCCCGGTCGTCGACCAGGCCTCCTGGTTGCCGGACTGATCAACCAGGCTGTTGGAACACCGCGGATTGTGACATTCAACTCGTACTGAACAATGTAATATTGACCTCTGATGACCTCGAGGTCATAGTGATTAAACAGGCAACTGGGAGTAATGCTTCGGTTCTAGGGAGCCGGTCGGCCGAGCAGACAGCACGCTGGACTTGTGATCCTGTGGTCCCGGGTTCGATCCCAGGCGCCGGCGAGAAACTATGGGCAGAGTTTCTTTCACCCTATGCCCCTGTTACCTAGCAGTAAAATAGGTACCTGGGTGTTAGTCAGCTGTCACGGGCTGCTTCCTGGGGGTGGAGGCCTGGTCGAGGACCGGGCCGCGGGGACACTAAAAGCCCCGAAATCATCTCAAGGTAATCTCAAGATAAAGATAATCTATATCCCAGCGTGAGATCTTAAAATCCTCGGGCAGGGCTCGCCAAGCATTTACGCAAGCAATTACGAAACCTGTACATCTTTCAACAATCATGGTGGCCTTGTTTACATTTATTAAACCCTTTATGAACCCCGAAACACTACGAGGTTGTTTATAACAATAATAACCATGAGTTGTGAAGCTTCCAACCCGTAAACTGTTTAAAAAGTGTAAACAAAGCCGCCCATGATAGCTGAAAGATGTACAGGTCTCTAAAGAGGTTCCGTAAAAGGTTGATGAATATTCGTAAGTTCCGCAAGAGGACCTTACGGAACTGAGGTGTAGCTGGCGATAAGTTATCAGGCTGAGGGCCCCCAACCATCATAGGGGCCCACAGGAAGATGTGTACAGGTATTCCGGTGATTAGAAGCTCCTTGGGAGGGGTGGGGGCGTCTCGGGTTCCTTAATACGTGGCCCACCTGCTGTCGCCCGCTGCACCTTACCCTTCCTGCCCGAGGCCATACCCACCCTGCCCGTGGCCACACCCACCCTGCCCGTGGCCACACCCTCCCTGCCCGTGGCCACACCCTCCCTACAACACTATAATAATAATAATAAGAGTTTATTTACAAGAAGGAAGAATAGGTTTGTGATTACACAATTTTGGTATTTTTACATTCTTACAAAGCCAGTGCCACCACCACAGTGTCTCACCACCACCACAGTGCCACGCCACCACAGTGCCACGCCACCACAGTGTCTCACCACCACCACAGTGTCTCACCACCACCACAGTGCCACGCCACCACAGTGCCACGCCACCACAGTGCCACAGGAGAACCCACATGCACCAAACAGGAGCAGCAGACCCTTGGGAAACTGGCCCAAGGGGTTCAATTACCTGCGTCAAATGTCACGCTTGAGAAAAAAGTACCCAGACAAGATTAACCCTTTGGTCAGCCATCGGATGGTCCTGCTATGAGGGGCAGAAGGCTTAAGGGTCCCTCACACCGGGTATGGGAAAGTCTAACCCCTCAAACAACCCCATAATATACCCTACAGGTGCCCTCAATCGCCCCCTGGGGCGTATGGGAAACTTGTAAACGCCCATTTGTAGGGCAGACAGCTGCTGAACGACATGGGGGAATTCTTTCTATTCGAAAATGATATCGATAAGCCGTTGCTTCGCCCGCCGGAAGTGGCAAACAATTGCAATTGCTCTAAAAAGAAGTTTGAGATGCGCACTATGCAGTGGGCGAGGTTCAGCAACCTAGGTGGGTGACACCTCGCGCAGTGGGAACCTGCCCGCAACGTTTCCCGCCTGCGCGGCGCGGTGTCCGGGCTCTTCTGCGGCGCCTGCTGCTGCCTCAGACATGCCCGCCTCTGTCTGACCGCACTCACACGCGCCCTCACGTCTCAATAACACTCATTAGTGCTGGGGGAGGGGTTGTGGCTCCAGCTTGGTGCAGGGGGGAGGGTTGTGGCCCCAGCTTGGTGCAGGGGGGAGGGTTGTGACCCCAGCTTGGTGCAGGGGGGAGGGTTGTGGCCCCAGCTTGGTGCTGGGGGAGGGGTTGTGGCCCCAGCTTGGTGCAGGGGGGAGGGTTGTGGCCCCAGCTTGGTGCTGGGGGAGGGGTTGTGGCCCCAGCTTGGTGCAGGGGAGAGGGTTGTGGCCCCAGCTTGGTGCATGGGGGAGGGTTGTGGCCCCAGCTTGGTGCAGGGGGGAGGGTTGTGGCCCCAGCTAGGTGCAGGGGGGAGGGTTGTGGCCCCAGCTTGGTGCTGGGGGAGGGGTTGTGGCTCCAGCTTGGTGCTGGGGGAGGGGTTGTGGCCCCAGCTTGGTGCTGGGGGAGGGGTTGTGGCCCCAGCTTGGTGCAGGGGGGAGGGTTGTGGCCCCAGCTTGGTGCAGGGGGGAGGGTTGTGGCCCCAGCTTGGTGCAGGGGGGAGGGTTGTGGCCCCAGCTTGGTGCAGGGGGGAGGGTTGTGGCCCCAGCTTGGTGCAGGGGGGAGGGTTGTGGCCCCAGCTTGGTGCAGGGGGGAGGGTTGTGGCCCCAGCTTGGTGCAGGGGGAGGGTTGTGGCCCCAGCTTGGTGCAGGGGGGAGGGTTGTGGCCCCAGCTTGGTGCAGGGGGAGGGTTGTGGCCCCAGCTTGGTGCAGGGGGGAGGGTTGTGGCCCCAGCTTGGTGCAGGGGGGAGGGTTGTGGCCCCAGCTTGGTGCAGGGGGGAGGGTTGTGGCCCCAGCTTGGTGCAGGGGGGAGGGTTGTGGCCCCAGCTTGGTGCAGGGGGGAGGGTTGTGGCCCCAGCTTGGTGCAGGGGGGAGGGTTGTGGCCCCAGCTTGGTGCAGGGGGGAGGGTTGTGGCCCCAGCTTGGTGCAGGGGGGAGGGTTGTGGCCCCAGCTTGGTGCAGGGGGGAGGGTTGTGGCCCCAGCTTGGTGCAGGGGGGAGGGTTGTGGCCCCAGCTTGGTGCAGGGGGGAGGGTTGTGGCCCCAGCTTGGTGCAGGGGGGAGGGTTGTGGCCCCAGCTTGGTGCAGGGGGGAGGGTTGTGGCCCCAGCTTGGTGCAGGGGGGAGGGTTGTGGCCCCCAGCTTGGTGCAGGGGGGAGGGTTGTGGCCCCAGCTTGGTGCAGGGGGGAGGGTTGTGGCCCCAGCACCAAGCTGGGGGAGGGGTTGTGGCCCCAGCACCAAGCTGGGGGAGGGTTGTGGCTCCAGCTTGGTGCAGGGGGAAGGGTTGTGGCCCCAGCTTGGTGCAGGGGGGAGGGTTGTGGCCCCAGCTTGGTGCAGGGGGGAGGGTTGTGGCCCCAGCT